GGCTGTGGTTAGTTCAAAAGCAACTTGGGGCTCCAGAATCCCATRGAGCTGCTAGTGTCACCCATCCCTTCTAAGGAGCRCCCCTCATCTAAAAACCCAGCCCTACCTCAGCAGCCCCCCTTGCCTTTCGGACCCTCTACCCACTCAGACCCTTAAAACCGAGCAGGGGTCCCTGTACCCCCCTGTGCAGCYGTACTCTCTTACTCTTGACCATACCAYYGTCTCTCGACTATTGYCGTGGCTGCTSGGGGGAAAAAGTCAGGGAATTCCTCGGGACTCTTCATGGGGATGTCGGGGTCAACCTGGAGCCAGTCGTGAAATCTGATCTTGTAATCTTTAATACCGGTCTCGTGTCCTGCTGCGTCCTTCTTTTCCCCTGGCCAGTCCACCTGAGCCACCCTGCCCCCGCTTTCCCCCCCTAGCCAGTCTGCGCAAAAGGTGTGAATTTCCTTGATGATGTCCGCTTTTTGGGTGAAGGTTTCCATCTTTTGCTGTGCTTTTTTCCATTGCGTTCTTATCTCTGTTTTGATAAACTGTTTAACTGTGTCGGCCGCTTCCCCTTCCGCCATCCTTGCCCCTTCTTGATCAAAGATGCATCTTTTAAGCCATAACCTCCAGATCACCGCCTTCTGGGCTATGGAAAATAGATTTGTAGTCAGGCTGGATGCCAGTGGCCTTTCCCACTCTCCTAACAGCAGGGCTTCCCAGCTCCATGGCCAGTCCTCATTGGTGCCCAGTTGTGACCAGATGTGGTCCCACCACCGCCATAGCAGGACTGCCCCGGGACATTGCAAAAATATGTGTTCAATTGTCTCGCATATCCTTCGCCCCGGGAACCCTGTGAAACAAGACTTACACCATGGGAGAGCTTCTCCCCGCTGTTCCAGGTGCGTCCTATCGATGATCCAATCATTCGTGGGGAGGCATCTGTGGCTAATTTGCCATTGCAGGGAGGCGAATTTTGCCAGTCTTTCTTTCATCCCTCTGGACCATTTCAATCTTCTGGTTTGGTCTCTATGTAGGTTGAGGCTCTTCTGCCATCTGTCCCCCACCTCTGTTTGGATATCCACCCGGGGCCTAATCATTCTGTAGGTGGACTTTACTGTTAGTTCATGGAGTTTTACCGGTTTTCTTTTACTTCCTCTCACCCATTGCCATTCCAGGGGATCAAAGGCCAACTCAGACAGGGGGGTTTCTGGTAAATAAGCTCGCCATTGGGTCCTCCCTTTCTTGTGGCTCTGCAACACTCTGATCCGATAGAGGTTAGGGCTCTCATGCCATTGGACTGCGTCCGGATGACATCTGATCAGGGTGTCATCTTTTCTTTTTTCAAACAGGTTGACCCATGCCCCCTGCGCCTGCCTCTACTACCACGCCGATCTGTAAGGGGAAGTCCTGCATTCTTACTGCTACCCAGTCTTGCTCCTGCAATATACTGCCTTTCCTTAGCGTCACCATCCATGCTAAGGGAATCGAGAATATTATCTGGTCGAGGGCGTCCTCCAACTTATGGGCGTGGCGCAGGCAGGGTCTGAGTTGTTGGACAGTTTCCCAATTTTTCCTCTCCTCATCCCATATGTCCCCTACCCTGAGGATGCCCTGTCTAACCCATGTGGCCCAGTGGGGGTCTGAGTTGCTATACACCCTCCCTTGCCTGTCCGTGATGGCCCTGTTCCCAAATATGGGCTGACGTAGTATCTCGTCCATGCGATCCGGGTCGGGCCTATCCGGTATAGGCAACCTCCTCCAGATCCTGATCAGGGTAATCCAAAATTGGTCCTTTGTGAGGTCCTGTCTGGCGGATCCTCTATCCCCCTCCTGTCGTGAACCCGCGTTGGCTCGGGGGATCGTCCAATACCTGTCCTCCAGCCATGTGAGCGGGTTCACCGCTTGTGTGGTTCTTGGTGCCAATCGGCGGATCTGTTCCAACGCTAGGTCCCGCCATGGGGGATTAGCTCCCACGATCAGTCTTTTGATCCATTGTATTGAAAGGGTTGTGGCTTGAAGGGAGGGGTCCAGCAAGCCCAGCCCCCCTTTGGTTTTTGGTTGGATCAGCTTGTCCCATGCCACCCTGCTGATCACATTTTGTTGCTCGTGGTTCCCTCGCTAGAGAAATGCCACCAATTGCTTTTTAAAGTTCTTAGTGCTCCCTTTCCCTAATTGTCACAGGGCCGATTTGTACCAGATGGACGCTAACACTACGTTATAAATGATTAAAGCCCTCCCAAAGATAGAGGTGTTTTTGTTCTTCCAGTTCTTCATTTTTTCGAGTGCTGGCCTGGTGATCCATTCATCATTCCCTTTTGGCGGGCGAGTGTCATTAATGCAACTCCCAGAACCCTAATTTGTTCATCCAATGGTCTCCAGTCCACCCGGGGCTGCTCAGGAGGGCGGACACCATGGCAGTGGATCCACCAGCCCTGCGTCTTGCTTCCCCAGTTGACCGACATGTCAGACACCTGGGAAAACCGTTTCATCAGCGCTTGGATTTCTGCCATGTTGTTCTGGGTTGCCTCGACCACAATGGTTAGGTCATCCGCGAACATTGAATAGACTGGAATGGCTTCTTCAGGGATGCCGGATAACTGTAGCCTAGAGATTTTCCTATTAGTCCGCAGGTTTGCTGCCAGAGCCTCCATTACCACTAGGAAAAGAAAGGGAGCCAGGGGGTCCCCCTGCCGCACCGAGCGTTGGAGCTTGATTTCTGGTGCCAATAATCCGTTCACCTGCACCCGTGTCTTTGCGTTATGCTGAAGTATTTTAATCCAATCCCTAAACTCAGGGCCGAAGTTCATCTTTTGCAAACACTTGTCCAGGAATATCCAGTCCACATGATCGTAATCTTTTTCAAAATCTATGAATATTACGGCCGCATTTTGGTGTGACTGTATCGATAACTTTATCAATTCATTTACCAATAATACATTGTCCTGGATGTTCCTGTTGCGCATAAATCCCGTTTGTGCAGGATGGATGATTTCCTCCATGACCGGGATCATCCTATTGGCCAATGCCTTTGCCATTAGCTTGTAAACCACCGTGAGGAGAGTAATCGGCCGGTAGTTTCTTATGTTCGTTTTATCCCCTCTTTTGTATAGTAGGGTGAGAATTCCTTGACCTACTATGTCCCCCATATCCCCTGAGGCTTTTACCTGCCTATAGAATTCCATCAATTCATCTGCCACAGGGGTCCACATCTCCTCCCAGAATTCCTTGGGGAGACCATCCACACCCGGGGTTTTCCCCTCCTCCATCTGTAGCAAAGCTTTCCAAATTTCCTCTTTTCGCAAGGGTTGTTCCAGAGAGAGACGTTGCTCGTGCGAGATTTTTTGGGAAAGGGGGGATAGGAATTCATCCATCATGTGCTCTCTGATGTGCTTTGGTTCCCTATTGGGGGATGTTGAAAAGAGCTCCTTGTAGAAATACCTAGCCACTTTCACTCCATGGGCCGAGGAATAGGAGGTGACCTCCTGCGACTTGAGCGGGTCATAGAGCCCTTCTATGGTGGATCTTCTGGCTCTGGTTTGGGCGAGGGCAAAAAAAACGGCGTCCATTTGTCCCTCTGTGGAGTATCTGGTCAGTTTTTCTCTAATGATGGAACCTTGCCATCTTTGCTGGGCGTATTCAAGGAGTTGATTTTTTAGCCTTTGTATTGCTAGTAGTTCAGTTTTGGTCAGCGAGTGCTGCTTTCCTGTTCGCGATTACGTATTTCTTCCTGAATATTCATTTCCTGAGAGAATTATTTCTGGCGAGTATTTTCGAAAATTCGTTGCATTTCTTGGCCATGAAGGCCAAACCATTATTGAATCAGGCAATGTATGAGTCAAGCTAGTTCCTTGTGGACCTCCAGTACTCCCACACATCGCTAAGGTATGCGCGGAACTGCTGCAGTTTCAAGATAGATGTATTAAGTTTGTAGAAGTCTGGGCCTTGGTCCGTTTTTTTCCGGAATCTGAGCAAACCAAGCCCTAAGGCCGACCCCAACCTCGTTTTGGGTTGGCCACAACCCCAACGGATTGAAAAGATTCTGGTGGGAAGCTGTCTTTGCACGGGCATGCCCAGTGTTAAGGAGAGGAGGAGGGGAACGACGATCTCCTTACTTTTTCGGGTAATACATGTAAAATACTGACCGTGGGATCACGAGTACTGCATGCCAGGATTTGGGTCACTCAACGCATCCTATCCCGTTCTATTTACGCTGAAGGTTGAGCTTCACAAGCGGGGGTTTCCGCAGGACATTTTTGACAAGGCTCTCACGAATTTTAATATTAAAATTGCTGGGGCCTGGACTGAGTGGGTCCATTGTTTCACGAACTGGGTCTATTTTTTATTACCGAAGATTCCGGTACTTCCAGGGGTTGATGGAGCCCCTGTTTTTTATTTTCTGTATTCTTCCCTTGAGTATCGGAGAGTTCTGGTATCTTCGAAGGCATGCTTAGATTGCTAGCGTACCGATAGGACTATATATAGTTTTCATTACCTGTTCCTAATCAGCGCAACCCCTGATGATGACCGGTACACTGGCGGACCGGTCGAAATACGTATAGGGTAATCGCCRGCCGTGCTCACATGCCATGGCGCTTGCGCCATCTTACTACTTTGTCGGCTTTCATTGAAATTTTTTCGAGCCGATGCGCTCAGGGGACTACGCAACTGCTTTGTCTGTCTACCTTTCCTTTTCCTTTCTTCTTCTCCTCTCTTCATCTTCTCTTCCCCCTTCTCTTCTTTTACCGCCATTATCTATTCATGGCTTGATATGTCGCATGAATACTACTTCACTGTGACATTCACACAGCGAACCGGCGGGGGATGCTAACCCTGTTCGAGTGACTGCGTCGCCAACATCATCATCATCATCATCATCATCGCTCACTCCGCTGCACTCCATCCCCCTCCAATCTAATCCTTCTGTCTTTGCTATTGCCGTTTTGGTGTTCAATTATAGAATGTTGCTTGGTGTACGGGGACGCGTTAGTCCCAGGTGGTTCAAGGATGGCCAATGGGAATATATGCCATTTTTGCAAGCTTCCAGGCCATTTCATTAGGGAGTGTCCATTTTGTTACCAGCCACATGGAGCGGAGATGGCGGCAAGAATTCGAGAGGGAGGATCGGGTGGCCCGAGCTGGAGCGGCTCAAATGGTATTCTGGCAGTGCTAGGGCAAGGGGTGAGCACCTCCAATGCGATCGTCCCATATCAAGGACCGCAGGGAAGGAATTATGGGGGGAACGGTGAAAGTCTCAATGATGGCGGGAGTTTCAATAACGGTGGAGGTTATAATAGGGGTAGTTATAATAACAATGGTCAGAGATACTCGAGACCCTGGACGGGAGGCAACAAGGATTGGGATCGAGAGTATGATCGGGATGTTAAACTGGATAGAATGTTTAACTTGCTATCGGAGTAGGTAGAGGAGCGGGAACAACGTACGCGTGAAAACGCTAAGCTGCTGGTGCTTGAAGAAGAGAAGAAAAAGCTGCAAGCGGAGGAGGAGAAGAGAGTACAGGCTACTAAGGATAGAGAGCAGCAGGAGGCTCGTTTGGGCAGAATTGTGCGAACAAGTGTTAAGGCGGTGTGCGAATCAGCTCTGGGGAGAAAGGTGGACATTCCGGAGGATGACGATAATGAGGTGGCGAAACTGAGGAAGGAGCTGGAGGAATTGCGCGCAAAAAGTCAGGATAATTCAAGTGAATCGCATTTGGAAGCCTTGCGGAAGGAGAAGGATGCGCTCCTGAAAAGAAACCAAGAAAGTGATGAGGAGAGACTGCGCAAGGAGATTGCCGAGCTGAAGAGCAGGAAGGAACAGGATAAACCTGCTTGCGAAGGGAAGGATGTGATTATGGTTTTGCAACTGCAGATCAAGGAGTTGGGGGTTTTCAGGTCCGCCCTTAAGGAGAAGAATGCAGAGGTTTCGGCTTTGAAATCGGAAAATAAGCATTTAAGGAAGGATGTCTCCGAGCTCCGTGAAGAATTCGTCAACATCAAGGGCAAGTGGGCGGTTGAAGAAGTGACGGGAAACAGTCCACTAGAGGAACCGGCAAGGGGCAAGCAACGGGCTGATCCCTCTCCAACGGCGATGTATACACCTAAAGATCTCGAGGCCCTTCAGAAGGCGTACAAGGCTGCCCTACAGAGTAAGGAGATGGCGCTCAAGGAGGCTAAGATGTTGAAGGAGCGGATGACGCGTATGGGTGCATCACGAATACGTATATCAACACATAGAACGACTGCAAGGAAAACAATGCCGCGGAACCTGAGAACGAGTTTTCAGGCGGTGGATGTGGGTTCTGACGACGACAGAGGAGACAAAGGTGGAGATAATAGGAAGGCTCGTACTTCTGTGGACGTAGCTCACAATCTGAAAGTCGCAAAGATGGCAGGCTTCTGTGAGACGAGGCTTAAGGAGATCCGCCAGGCGAAGAAGGCGGATATGGAAACAGCGTGTGTCGATGAGGGTATTACCTACATCAAGTTGGATCAAGCCAAAGCGGATGTGGCAGAAATCCGAGCTAGCTGCGACTACGCCGATTCAATTTGGCTCAAAGAGAGAGAAAAAGGACAGGACGATGACCAGGATCAGCACTACGCGACATCGACTGAGGAGGTCGGGGAGGAGTGAGGGGACTCCCTGAGTGCGTCGCGACTACGGGAGCTGACCTAACTGTGTCGAGATTTTCATGATGAGTTGCGTTCCAATCAGTTTGATATTGCTTATCGAATTTTGGTGACTCTTCTAATTATCCAAGGAGGGATTAAATGGTGTGGTAAGTTTCGGGATTCTTTGCTTTCTCTGTTACAGGGTAATTACGATTTCCTTTCTTGTTTGGGTCCGGTTGTCTATGCTTTAGTCTCACCATGGTTTCATCATGTGTATATTGGGTGTACAAAGAGATCTCTTGACATTAGATGGAAGGAGCATGTGGGGACTACGTTACCATCGGGAAGAACGTGGGGGAATAGGAAGCTCTATAGATGGTTGCGAAGGGTAGGTATTAATTCTTACGTTGCAATTCCCATTTGTGTTTCCTCGGAGAAGAATTTGCTTGGTTTGGAAAAATTCTTTATTAATTTTGTTAGCCCTGCGCTCAACTCGGTAGCCAGGAAGTCGAAGGGTAGTAGATCGTGTCGACCGGGGAGGAAGGAAAGGTTGAGGAGAAGGAAGAGTCTTTCAGGTTCGCTACTTGCACATACGGATGCGCCGGTTAAGTATGATCCCTTTGTATTCTCTTCTGCTCTAGATAAGCGTACATCTAGTCTTGTTTCAATTCTAAAACATGCTATAGAGTCCAGTATCGATACCCCCTTCTCGGTCACCATCCTGTCCGGATCTTCTTTCGCAGAAAAATGGAAGTTTATTCGCCGCCTATTCGGAACTTGTACTGTGTCCTCCACCGACTTGCCTATGTCCCTACTGAAGCACTGTCGCTCCTGGTTTAAAGTCGGGACCCGCATTTATTTTCACTCTATCTCGCAGTTCTGTCCACGCTCTCTCCCCCTAAAAAGCACACTGATCCGCCTCCTCGCTCTCCCATCTACAAGGAAGGAACTAAAGAACTTCAGTTTGGATGGCCTTATTAAACTGTACGATGCTGTTAGGACAGTTAGCCGGAAGTGCTCTCAGTCGAATTTGAAACAGATGCTTTCTAACGAGTGTCGTAAGAGGTTTTCCCTGTGCCTGTCGGCTAGGCTGATTATCCGCATCAGGTATGACGATTCTTTACTTAAAGATAGAATCAAGAGTGTGTGTAAGAAGATTATTGCGGATCTGGATTTTCCCTCCTCGTATCTAGATATTGTTGGCCGCTGTTTTAGGCTGGTTTACACCAGGAATCGTAGTGTAGGGGATCTGATACATAATTACCGTAACTTTTCTGTTGTTTTGGAACCTGTCTGTCCATGCAATAAGATTGATGGGAAGTTCCCTCGGCAAAATGGTCATGTCTCTTTTCGTTTTGGTCACGTTGATTTTCTACCTGCATTCCTCAATAACTCTAAAGATATTGCCTCTCCTAAATACTCATCCAACCTTTATCAGCTTCGTGATCAGATTAACACCTCCGTGTCTTTATTTTTCGGCATTAAAATTGATGTGAATTCTTTTCTCTTCTCTGACTGTTTTGGTGGAAGTAGTGTGCGGGCATATATTGCGGAGAATACCGTACGGGAATACAAGAAACAGTTTGATGGGCTTGTCCTTTGCCCTTTGGACCACAATGCGGGGGATACTTATGCATGTTGTCCGACTGTTTACGCAAAAGGTATGCAGAAACCGTTTACGAATAATCCGGGTTTGCAGCTAGTTGAACAGAATGAGGAGGAGGTGTTGGATAACTGTAGGAAGAAGTATTTGGCGGGGAAATTTAGTAGATTGGCTCCATGGCTTGGTAAAGGAAAGTTAGGCAGATCGTACGTAATCTCGAAACATAAGGACATTTGTAAATGGCGACCCATCTGCCCCTCCTGGTCTGAACCGTCCCGGCGAGCCTCCAGGATTGTGTCCTGTTGTGTGAATGAGTTTTTGAGGCGCCTGCCACGCTATAGCCATTTCAATCTATTAAGCACGCATACACTGCCTGCTTTCTTGAATATGGTCAATAGAGGCATCCAACAGGAGGATGAGTTATTGGCTGGCAGTTTCGATGTAAAAGAGATGTTCTGCCAACTGCCGCATTCTGCAATCATGCTGGCGGTAGAATGGGCGGTGAGCATGTTTGAGCAACAAGGGTTCTACAAATGTATGATACCGAATCGAAGTAAACGGGTTAGGTTATGTAGGATGGCAGTTAGTGAGGTGGGTAATAAGTCTGTCAGTTTCACCCTGCTGATAAAGTTTGTTGCCTTTGATTTGTCGAACACGTTCACCATGGCTATGGGCTCTGTCTTCAAGCAGGAGTTGGGAATTCCTATGGGCAAATCCTCAAGCCCTGCTCTTGCCTGTCTCATGTGCGTACATAATGAGTTCACCTTTTTACGAAGTTTGGGTAATGATGCCCAGTTGGTTAAAGGTTGTTGACTTACAGACGACGTGTCTATCTTCATTCGATACAAGGGTAATAACGCCTCGTCAAAAGCGAAGGCAACGCGGATACTATCCAGGTTCAAGGATTCATGTTATGACAAGCACCTGGTGCTGGAGAGCACAAGTGACGGGCTGTCATGGCTGTATCTTGGATGTCGCATCTTGGTAGGGACCAAACCTGTCAAGATCTACTGTCAGGCTCTGCATAAGAATCAGGAGAGTATTCTCAATGGGGAAGGGCTGGTTTTTCAGAATTTGCAGAATATCTATTCCTTCTGCAGTAAATAACAGAAGACGGCAGTCATTGCATCATTCTTTCATAAGGCGTATGACATGGGCAATTTGCCAGCCACAGAGGCCGTTTATCTATTCACGCTGAAGGTTGAGCTTCATAAGCGGGGGTTTCCGCAGGACATTTTTGACAAGGCTCTCACGAATTTTAATATTAAAATTGCTGGGGCCTGGACTGAGTGGGTCCATTGTTTCACGAACTGGGTCTATTTTTTATTACCGAAGATTCCGGTACTTCCAGGGGTTGATGGAGCCCCTGTTTTCTGTTTTCTGTATTCTTCCCTTGAGTATCGGAGAGTTCTGGTATCTTCGAAGGCATGCTTAGATGGCTAGCGTACCGATAGGACTATATATAGTTTTCATTACCTGTTCCTAATCAGCGCAACCCCTGATGATGACCGGTACACTGGCGGACCGGTCGAAATACATATAGGGTAATCGCCAGCCGTGCTCACATGCCATGGCGCTTGCGCCATCTTACTACTTTGTCGGCTTTCATTGAAATTTTTTCGAGCCGATGCGCTCAGGGGACTACGCAACTTCTTTGTCTGTCTTCCTTTCCTTTTCCTTTCTTCTTCTCCTCTCTTCATCTTCTCTTCCCTCTTCTTTTACCGCCATTATCTATTCATGGCTTGATATGTCGCATGAATACTACTTCACT